TTTATATTTACTATATTTTATATTTTATATATTTATATATTTACTATATTTAATATATTTTATATTAACTCTTCGTAATAGTGAGTAGTGATTTTTATTTGCAGCATATCTGTATGTATAGTCATCTCTCTATGTTTGGAGTTTATTGATACTGTATTATCTACAAACGTATCTCGATCACATCACGTGTCGATTTCCACCGAATATTTTGTGGATCAACAAAAATATTTCTATTTAATGTTTCTTCATCTAAGTGCAGGTTTTATTGTAGGGGGCACAGCAACGATAGCGACAGGATCATTGCTCCTTGCATATCTTCTTTATTTCTGCGGAATGTTCAAAATTGCTAGGTAACATAATAAACATATAATAAATAATTTAACAAAGTATCTGAATGAATAAACGATTAACAATAAATAACAAAAGTATATGGAATTGTATTTTAAGTGCTTAAATACTTCGGTGTGAATTATATGAGATATATACCGAATTCTGTAAAATATATGTCAATATCATTTTCAGCCATGAAACACAGTTATGAATAGAACTAGAGTAAAAATATCATTATTTAATTAAATTGAAAAACAACTGCTATAATATTGCTATTGATGCTAACCAACATCGTGGGAAAATATCAATAATTTGATGTTAATAAACATCTTAAAAATTGTTAAAAAATTTAAATTAGAAATGGACTTTTGATTTTCTCATTAGTAAAAAGTATTTGTTTTGATATGATGAAAATTTACTTTATAAAATATCAGTTATTAATATGCTTAAAATTAAAAGTTTAAATAATTATTTTATTAAAATAATGAAATCTTAATGTGATTCCTTACAATAATGTGCAATATAGTGTGTCTAAAATTACTTTTTAGCTTTATCTTGAAAATAAAATTTTAATGGAATAAAATCAAATATGTGAGAAGTAGTTAATATTTATATTTATATTTTAATGTAATTGAAAATTCTCAGCAGTCTGGGTTTATATATTATTACAAATAAGCTTACAAATAACGATAAGTGTTTCTGCATAAATATGAATTGCTATAAAATCAGATCAATAATAAATGCGCAATGTGAACATATAAAAAACAATTATTTTATTAAATTATATTATTAAGAGTTAAATTTTTTTTTATATTATCAAGAGTTATATCAAGCAATCTTTTTCCCTTATTTCTTTAAAATTATTTTTATTTCTTGCTATAGTTATCAGTTAAATTATTTACAGTTATCGTATCAAGAAAACTATACATATTTATACATTAAAAGACCTTAGTATGCAAAAAGAGATTTTGGTTAATAAACATCTAATTCGTGCTGTAAATATTCATCGAAAATGTATGACGTAGGTATCAACATATTCTGCAATAAATATATAACATTCGTAATAACTTACGTTTACTTTTAGATACTCCAACTATTTAAAATCCAGATTTGAAATATCGTTCATATTCTTAATGGCACTTGGAGTTCTTTCTATAAGCCTAAATATTTTTCGAGTGCGTATTATTTTTTACAAATCTGTGTTAATAATTTGCATATTATTTCGTTATGTTACTTTAGATTAATAATCTTAATGTTTTTTTCTAAGAAACAATGCTAAAGATTAGATTAATATTTTGAGAGTAACAATATTATGGAAAGATTATTAAATTTGAATTTTGAGGTATTATTGACATATATTCGTTGACACAATTTTTTTATTTTTAAATCCGTATTCGGATTTAAAAATTTTTTAAATATAAGCTTTAAATATAAAATTAAAAAATGATTATGAGAAAAATAAGATGTAATTATTAATTTTAATGCCAGAAATTCACTTGACACATAGTTTCTGATTAAAAATAATATAATAATAATATCAAGTTTTTGATATCTTCAAGTTTATAAATTGTTATAAATTGTAATATTTATTTAAAATATAATATATATAATAATAATAAGAAATATTTCATATATATAGCAATTA